CTTGTCCCTGGGTTTGTTAACACCCACTTCCTTTACCCATCTCCCCTTCTCACATGTCCCCCTGGTACTGTTGGCCCCGTTGTTTTCTCCTCCAGATTGTTTATCCTGCCTATCTCATCTAGATAGACATGCAGAAATAACGATATACACAAAAACAAGACAGAGCAAAACAAAGCAATGAAAGAAAACAAAGCATCAACAATGACAGGAAAACCAACGACAAAAAAAAAAAAAAAAAGCTTATAAATAGTTCAAGGTGTGTTTGTTGACCTTTAGGAGTATTTTCCAGTCGAGTCTGATGGGGTGCCATGCCCTGGCCCCAAAGTCTATTTTAGGTATTCCCTGGGGATTTCGTTGCTCTGCTCCCCTTGCTGTTCTGTTGCACACCCTTAATGTTTCACCTCGGTGTGGTGGGGTGAGATCGGGCACAATTTCCACTCTGTGTCTCTAGTGTTCTTCCCCGTAGTACTATGGGTCAGTGAGGGATGTTGTGTCTTGTAATGGGGCTGGCCCTATGGTCCTCTCTGTGCATTGACTGCTCTGAGCAGGAATATCATCCTCAAGGCTTGGTGGGAAAGGATGTGCTCCACTTTCTCTTTCTCTCCCTTCATTTACCCCTGTGTGCTCTGATCAGACATGTCCCTCTCCTGAATTGTAGCTTCAGTGCTGTCCTCTGAAATGAATTCTTCTGTGGGGAGTGGGGGCTGTCCATGTAGTTGGGATTGGGTCTGGCCCCTCAGACATCTCTGTTTATTGGTTCTCTGCTTCATGACAGTATATTGCATTCCCGTCTTGGAGCACCGGGTTGAAGTCTGGTCCCTCTCTCTCCTGTGGAGGTATAAACAACACTTTCCCCTTGGGTGGCTTAGTGCCCTGTTCCCCTGCTACCCATGTCTTTTTTTACTCTCCCTTCCCCTTTTTAGTTGTCTGTATCCCTGTATTGGGTCTGGCCCCTGCCATACTACCTGGACCTCACCCCAGGAATGTATGTACACAGTAGCTTTTTCTCTATGCCCCCTTTGAATTTTTAAGCTTACCTCAGTGGACTCATGTTGTACTTGTCCTTTTGTCCTAGCTTACTTTGCTTAGCATAATTTCCTCCAGTTCTTCCCATGCGGTGATGTGCTTCATGCAATCATCACTGATTTTTAGGGATGTGTAGTACTCCATTATATGTATGTACCACAGTTTTTAAATCTATTCATCTGTTGATGGAAATTTGGGTTGTTTCCAACTCCTTGCAATTGTGAACTGTGCCACAATGAACATTGGAGCACAGATGTCTGGCCATGGTTTGTTTCTTGCCTCTTCTGGGTATGTGCCCAGTAGGGGGATTCCTGGGTTGTATGATAGCTCATTTCCATCTATTGTAGATATCGCAAACTCAATTTCCATAGTGGCTATACATACCTACAGGTACACCAGCAGTGGATGAGAGTTCCTATCTCACCACAGCCCCTCCAACACTTGTTGCTTTTTGATTTTTTTAATTGGGCTATCTTTGAGGATGTTGGGTGGTATCTCATTGTTGTTTTAATTTGCATTTCTTTTATCGCTAATGATCAGGAACATTTTCTCATATCGTTTCTCAGGTCGTTTGCTCACCTCCTCACTGGGAAATTAGTCTTTTTATTTTTGGAAGCTAGCAGAGTGTTTTAGATTTTAGTAATAAAGCCTTTGTCTGATGTGTCATTGCTAAAGATATTTCCCAGTCTGTGGGCTCTCTTATTCTCTTAGTGAATTCTTTTGATATACCCAGGTGTTTTATCTTCAGTATATCCCACTTGTCAATTTGTGACTCATTTGTATTTGTGTCCTTCCCTA